TATTCTCATCTTCTACTAAAAGAAAAAAAAAGCTTTTTGATGTAGAGTGACAGGATTATGAAGTGACCCTTCAGGTCACAAGGAGACTTTTCCTTTTCTCATCAAGGAAATCAATTTCTAAGTCCAAGTCTCTTAAAATAATATATTCTTGTGGCACGCATACAGCTTTTTTTGATCTGCTATGAAAAGAATAAGAGGTAAAGAGGATCAGGGGTGGTGATGGAATATTATAATCTGCCACACTCACACATCAGCCTTTCACTAAGTAATTCCAGATAAATTGAGGATTTACATATTTAAGATTAAATGGGGAAAGAGTAGTGATGCATAAATAGAGGAATACAAAGATACCAACTGAGGAAGTTAACTCTTAAAAACTTAAAGTCACTTGATATTTATTTATTACCCTTCCCTGTCCCACCCCATCTTGTTTAAAAGAGTGTAACGTTTATTAGGAAATAACCAGGATAATCTCTTTTAGATCAACTGAGCACAAACACAGATGCCTGGGGGTTTCTCTCCCCCACCCCTCCCACCTCCGCTACTCAAAAATACCAATTACCATGACAAGAAACAGTTAAATGCCTCCAAAGACACATACATGCAGCAGATGGAAAACAGGAGGAAACCAGCTGGAAGTGTGTTTCCCTTAGAACTGTTTTTAACAGCCTGTGCACAAATAATGTCTCACTAATACAGAGATAAAAATAAAACATAAATATTTAAAAGGTGACTGGTCAAAGCAACAAGATGGCATTCGATACGGGATCTTTTCTAGTTCTATTATTCTCACAGTCCATGCTAGCGCTTCAAATTCTGAACTGGGATAGTAACTTTAACCTGGAAGCTGCAGTAACTATTGAAACCTTTTGGTACTGTTAATGAGTTGGGTGAACCCTGGTTATAGGGTTAAAAATCTCATTGAGATTGGGTGTGAATGCCCCCTTCAATTAACATAGCTGTCAGGATAAATTAATCACAACCCCCCACCTAAGACAAAAGAGTTTGTAAACCTATCCAGGAGTTTTGGACTGAGTTATTGTTTAGGTGGGAGAGCAAAACAGAATACACAGAAACAGAGAGAGAGAGACTCAGGGGCAGAACAAAAAAGCTACATAGACCTTCTGAACGAGACACTGAAAGCAGCGTATGGCCATGGGGAAAAACCTGGGGAGTGACTTTAGGGACCAGAGGTGCTGGCTGAAAAGAACAGAGGTGCTCCTGTAAGCAAAAGGAGCTATTTCCTGCAGTTCAATTCTTTCTGCATTCAGAGACAGAGGACTTAATACATTCTTTGTAAATAGACAAAACTGCATCAAAGAAATACCTGATTCACCAATTTGTCTTCCTAACTGGAACAACCTACCAGACCCCGAATGTTTGGCTAGTTGCTCAGTTCAAAAGGGGTAACAGTACTGTTATTTGTAAGGCTTGCCGCTTGCCTTGTTTTTTATTGCACACCTGTTAAGCCACTGCTTTGATACTCAACTTCCTGTGCTCACCACTTCCTGACCCCATCTCCCAATGTTTTTGTCACACTGAGGTTCTCCAGGAGCTGTTGTTCATGCCAATGCCAGGCATGAAGGCCAAGATTTTCAAAAGTGACAAGTGACTTTGTGTTCTCAAAGGGGCCGATTTTCAGAAAATACTGAGCACCCCCTCTGAAAATCAGGCCCTTTTAGGATGTCCCAAGTTGGGGGCCCCAGAATCAATAGTTACCTTTGAGCGTGGTGCTCCACGGGGAGGGGTTCGGCAGCATGGCGCTCGGCAGGGGGTGTTTGGTGGTGCTCCGCGCGGGGGAGGTGGGGGGTGTTCGGCAGCGCGGCGCTCGGGGATGTTCGGTGGTGCTGCGCTCGGAGGGGGTTTCGGCAGTGCGGCACTCGCTCCGCACGGGGGGGGGGGGACTTCAGCAGTGCGGTGCTCCGCGGGGGGTGGGGGGTGTTTGGCAGCGCAGCGCTCAGGGATGTTCGGCAGTGCAGCGGGGGGTGGGGGGTGTTCGGCAGCGCGGTGTTCCGCGCAGGGGGGTTCAGCAGCACGGCGGGGGCTGTTCGGCGGCGCAGCACTCAGCGGGGGGGGATTCGGCTGCACGGCACTTGGTGGGGGGGTGTTTCGGCGGGGGGGGAGTGTTAGGGCAGGGTGGCGCTTTTTTTGCTGCTTGGGGTGGCAAAAAAGTTAG